AACTATATTTCATAGAAATAGAACTCTGAATTATGATGGTATTATCGTAAAAAACACTATACTTACAAGAAAAAGCAGCAGAGGAAGCAAAATGTTAACTTTATAGAAATTAAAAAGTCTTGAGATTTGACATTTCAATGTTTGTTTGGAAAGTAATAATGAGAATGTGACAGTCGTGACGTCACACTCCTGCGGTCCATTATATGAAATAATTCTCGACACACCTAATTCATTCTATGGCGTCATAATTAATCACGCACTGAAAAGTACCTCTAGGATGTATTTTAATGTAGGAAAATAGACGAGGTGGTAAATTAATTATAACATACTCGTATTACTGCAATAGCTTTATTAAAACATTCTAATAAAATTCACTTATGAGACAAAAAGTGATATCTGTATCTAAAGCAAGTTTTTTATCATCGTTAACAAAATTGTGAGCCGCCCTCGAGTCGTACACAGTATTACAAGTATTGTTACTCATATGGTCACTCAGACAAATGGGTCTTTTAGTGTCGACGTAATCACTGTCGCACTTCTCTTGTATACCGCGTTTTTTAAGCACTTCTCGAAAATCTCTCAAGCAGTTGCAATACCACGGATTTCCCATTATGGTAATTTTCTTCAAATTCGGTAGTACGTCTAAAATAGAGGGCGGGACCATCGCATAATTGTGATCGATAGCGAGGTTCTCTAGCTTCGGAAGACCGTTCGGAGGAAAAAGGGACGGAACGAACTGTGTTATCATATTGTGTGTCAGAATAAGTGTTCTCAGCTTGGTTAAATCGTCGAAAGCCTCTACAAGCGAGTCTATTCTGTTGTGAGACAGATTCAAAATTTCTATATTAACCAAATCGGCGAAGAATTGCCGCGTGACCTGTAAGAATAAGTTTTCAGAAAGCCACACAACTTTGACGGATTTCGGAAAGTTGAGTATTTTATTTAGTTTGATCTCTTTTAATCGATTTCCGTCGAGGTTGATATATGTGAGATTCCCCAAATTATACAACGCAGTGTCCGGCAGTTTGTTGATCAAATTATGTCCCAAATCGAGGTATTTCAGGCTTCTGGCCAACGTAATAGATTGTGGGTTGAAGGTCGTCAGCTGATTTTGGTTCAACACAAGATGTGTCATCTTGTCCAAATATCCGAAGGCGTTAACGTCGATGAAGAAAATGTTGTTATCGGCCAGGTGCAACTCGCGACACTCCGGATGAGAATAGAATGTATCCGAAGCTATTCGTCGCATATCGGTATGTACGATTTTTATTATTTCGACGTTCTTGAATTCCCACATGAATGTCGACTGTATCCAGAGCTGTGATCTATTCTCGCTGTAGTACTGAAAATATTTGATGGTTGATAAGTTTCCCAATCTTGTGTCGTTGAAGGTGGCAAATCTCAGCGAGGGCTCGTCGTAACATTTTACAGCATCGCCGGTTCTGTTGCAGAAGCACAGTGCTTCGTCGATAGTTGTTATTAGGAAAAATATTATTACTTTCGATAACAACATATTATTCAATTGCACTTCACACTACACTGTTAACGTATTTTAAGCAAATCACTTCAACAATCGTGATTTATTTACTGAAAACTAATTACTATAGAACATAAAAAATTATCTTATTTATGTAATAAGGTTATTTATGGTTATCTTGGTAATAGTTTTGTTTATAAATCTATTTTTATGATATAGTTGGTATATACAGATTGAACGAAATAAATTCGAAACATACGAAATATTATGTATTTCGGCTCAATTCTGTTGTAGCTGGTTGACCAACAAAAGGTTGTCAAATAATTATATTATAAAAATCCAATACTTCAGCGGGCTGCTGGATTCTGAAATCATAAAAATTGAAAGCTACACATAAATCTACGATTTTATTATGCTGTCAAACCACTTATAGTCCAGGAAATGAAGCATTTCACCTCGCAATTTTTTCGTCCTGCGTGGATTAACTTGAAATTTTAACAGAAGGTAGGTAATAGCCAAGGATCAAAATCTATATCGAACCAAAGTGCGCCAAAGCCTTGGGGGTAGTTGCCCCAAGGCTGTTGGAAATTTTTTTTTTACGTTTTAACTACAGGTTTCGATTAAAACAGTGATTCTAAACAAAAAATATTCTATACATTTTTTTTATAAAACTGATATTTTTCAAGTTATTCGCGAATAACTCGAAAATGGTGCATTTTATCAAAAAAATTGTAGAGAACAAATTTGTAGCTTTTAAAAAGACAAATACAATTCATTTTTTAAAATGTTTTTGCGATATAACAGGAACCGAAATACGGCCTATCAATGTTCAGCGGTTTTCTTCAAATGCCAAATTTGAAAGATTTAAAGTCAAATATCGGGAAAATGATGCATTTTTGGAAGAAAACTCACAGAACCTTTTTTAAAGAGCATAAATAGACCTATCATAAAAAAAAGACTCTAGCTCAAAAATTGAGTGAGTTATGATGAAAATAAGGTCAATACCTAATTTTTTACGAAAAAATCGATGAAAACAACCCCCTAACCACCTCCATAATTAAAATCGATCTTCACCCTTCTGCAATTCTCTTTGTACATGTATTGTTAATACGTCCAAGAAGTTTGACCCATTTAAAATGCTTAGTTTTAGAAAAAGTAAAGCATAAAGCGAGAAACGATTTACAATTTCATATTTTTTACCCTTCTTTTTTTAAATATCCCCGAAAATACTGAATATATGAAAAAAATAAAAATGTACTAAATTGTAGATTTTTTAATGACTAAAATTTTCCTTTATTTAGATTTGTTGTACAATGAATATTTGGCGAGATATAGCCGTTTAAAGCATCGATTTACGATCAAGCACCATCTTTTTCGAGCCATTTAAACTCACCCCATTTAAAAACCAAGGATTCCAAAAAGATTTAATTGACTGATCCTTGTAGCTCTTAAAAACCTCTACAAAATCGTTTTTGAAGAAACACTCTATCGTTAAAAATGAAGGAAATACGTTAAAAAAACCAATTAATTTTTTTTCCGGAAAATTCCATTAGTATAGTCCAGTACATTTCGGAGCATAATAATCTACAAAACTGGTATATTAGGTAGTGGGGCGTTATACATTCGAAATTTTAAGCGTTCTTATTTTGAAATCCCATACAACAGAATAAAACATCTGCTCATATGTCTATGGCTTGGCAATGAAAATATCAGAGCAACAGATTGGGGATGGTATTCCAAAGATGGTTTTTTATTACCCGTACGAATGAAGAAACAACCTGCACCCGATGAACTTTTGAAAATTATTTTTTGCCAATGCAAAAAAAGGTGCGGCGTTTCATGTGGGTGCAGAAAAGTTGGTTTATAGTGTAACTCTACTTGTTCTGGGTGCTCAGGTGAAGGGTGCAATAATAGTACACCAATAATTGAAGAAGATGAGGATGACATAGATCACGATGAAGATGTAATTGATGACGAATAAAATTAATATTATAATTGTTTTACCTATAAATGTAAATATTTTCAACTATTTATGTAAATGTATAAGAATATATGGTGCCTTTTTATGTTGATAAATTTTTTTGTATTTAATTCTACTTTTTTCAATTTATATCTATTAAATTAGTTTATAAAAACTGCAAAATGTTGTAAAGGGTGATTTTCAAAAGTTGAAAAGTTGCAAAATTTTGGCAAAAAATTGTTTTCACCTATAGCACTCATAACAATTGATTTTTAAGGGTTGAAAATGTATGAAATTGTATTTTAAAGTATAAAAAAATCACTATTTAACTAATCCAAACCAAATTTCACTCATATTAAGATTTGTAATGTTATTTTACAATTTTTAAAAATTAGGGGTAGTTTTCACCCATAACAACAATCAGGGTTCATCGGCATGACATAAACTATAAAGCAGAGGGTGAGTTGAGCTTAATTCCAAATTTTTATACAAATCGTTCCAAGGCGAAATCATTTTCTTCGCATTACTACTTTTTTTACATTAATCTCTAACAAGGGTTGCTTTTTAAGAGTTGAAATATGATGGAACTCTATTCAAAAGTATAAAATAATCATTATTTAACTAATTTAAACCAAATCTTATTCATATTCAGGTTTAATATGTTATTTTATAATTTTTGACAATTAAGGGTAGTTTTCACCCCTAAAACCCTTCAGCGCACTTCGGTTTGATATAGATTTTGATCCTTGGGCTATCACCTACCTTCTGTTAAAATTTCAACTCAATCCATGCAGGAAGAAAAAATTGCGAAGTTTTAATTTTTTTTCGAGATTCATTTCCTGAACTATTATCGCTTCCTTTACGCAAACAACATTGTTGCGAGACAATGTTAAGACAAAATTTTGTTTTAACCTGGTATACCAAATTTAATTTAAATCACAGTCACTCATTGTTTCACATTCTCCCCCCTTGTTAACATACCAAACATTGCTATTGATCCTACTACACATTAAACATAATTCTTCACTAAAAACAGTCTATCCATAAACGGAAGCACAATGACTTTTGATCCTACTACATCATTCCACTTGACGTTGACGTTGATTTTTCATACCATCTTTTTATCAGTTAGCCGTAGTAATTACCGAAGTTAATAGTCTATTGCATTTACCTTTGTACATTCCACGAGGATTTTTTTATTACTGATGTCTTTCTAGTGTTTTTCTGTGGTCAAACAATGTTTTCAACAACTTTTTATGTAAGTAGTAAATAACCAACGTGTTCTTTTTATACATTTAAATTTCAACTTACGTGTTTTTTAATATTGTTTTTTTTTTCTATCTAAAACATAATTACTGCGGTGGAGGGTTAACTGGAAGACAACTTTTTCTTTAACAATTCTGTGATTCAAATTTAAACAGTAGTAAAAATTTTAAAAAAGATAAAAATATTTCGCACTAAAAACTGAACCTGTATATCTAATAACCTCAACAGTGATTTAATATTAATTGTATCTAACCTTCACACACTTCTCCAAATACGTAATAAAAATACAAAACTTACCTTAACTACGTAAATATCGGGATCGCTCAAATGCAACAGCAAGGTAACGATGTTCCCGTGGATCTGCTCCTTGAAAGCCTCCAAATTGCCTTCGGAATTCAAGGACTGTGTCAGATCTCCCAGCAATCTGAATGCCGCTCTCCTTAAGTTAACGTCCTCTTGGTCCAGCAGAGGTTTTATCCTGACGGCGGCAGTTACCTGGAACGAACTGAACTTGCAACCCTCCATTGCTTCCAGTAGTTTCGAGAAGCTCAGCATGCCTTCCAGGATCACGGCACTTTCCATCCTAAACAAATTTTGAAGACGAGGTCTTTAATTAAGTTGGATTTTTATAAATCAGCCACACACACACGCACATACATGCACATAGGAAGAGTAATTTGTAATTATAATGTTTACTTCAACTTCTTGTTTGGGATATATTTACATAAGTTACGTTTTATGTATAAAAAATACGTATAAAAATTATGTCATTTTTTCGCTGTATTACTAACTATCCTTCTACCACAATTTTACAATCATTACCTTAGCCCAACCCTTAATAATCCTTCCTATTCCATTCAACCTCCCCTTCTTTAGAAATACAGACAGTTGTAACATAGCAAACAAGAAGTCGCTCTCTTTCGTCTGCTGAGTCTCGCTAGGCAGACGTACTCTCCTCTCTTACCTATAACTTGGTACAAACGTTTCCCTCTTGACTGTTATCTATCGCTGAAGAGACGCTCTCTCTTCCCTGTTGACTTTCTTTGGTGACAGGGGTGTTCTCTCCACTGTTGACTGCCGCTAACTAATTATCCATCTCCCGCTTTTAGTTACGCAAAAAATACCGCAAATACTATTTTAAATCGCGTACAGACGCAAATGTGCTCTATCTGGTGATATCAGTGTTAGTATCGCGAAACACGTGTACTCTGATAGATTTCCCGTATGCAGAACAACCGCGAGTGAAAGCCTGTCAATACCGCGAGAAATTGACACCTGAATTGTTGTCTTGTTGAACAAGAATTGTTGTCTATATAACTGCTTCATATTAACTGTTCTGCAGGTTTACATTTCGTGTTCATGAGTAAATGTTGGAGAAACGATTACTGATGCCAGACTAATTCTACTATTTTTTTGTTTTATTCGTTTTACTACATTTTATAATTGGACTAGGTATATGTATTGTGTATTTCTGAATATGTCGTCGAATATTCTGTTCAAAATTCACTTCTTTATTGACGACAATATCTATATCTTAAATATGCGAAATCTTTGTGTCTAGTAATTGTAAACTAGTAATAGAATTGTGTTTGCCAACTGCTCAAGGCTCACGACAAGAAGAAACGTCTAAAATAATAATTTCTGTACTCACCCGATATTATGATAATCCAAACTGTTCATCAAAACGCTAAGAATAGGATTGCAGTGCCTCGACACCAATTCGTAGCTCAAATGTTCGGCGGCGTAGCCCAAACCCTGCAATCCCAACCTCTTAACCAAACTGCAAGTGTCTCCTTGAACGTCCAAAATCATCTCCAAGAGGTTCTCCGTCAGTACGTTTTGTTCGGTGTGGCTCTGTTGCAGCAAGTGCGAGAAGAATGCGACGGTAACTACTCGCTGAGGGTCAAGATCTGCTCGGATGTAGGGACCTAGACTAGCGACCAACCACGAGAGCGATTGGGGATGTTCCTCACAGACGTTTTCAACCAAAGATTGGATTACCTGGAAGTTAAAAGAATTATATGGAACTTCCCGCTGTATATCTTACTTGTATTTATTGGAACAATTTAATAAACATCTTAAATAATTTAGATCAGTGGTTCTCAACCTGGGGGGCGTGAGAGAGTTTCAGGGGAAGCGTGAGGGTACAAAGAAAAAAATAAAAATTAAAAAATATATATTTTGTTAAAAAACAAAATATTTTGTATTTCAATAAACTTCAATGTAATCAGTGAACTTCCATGGGAGAAAGTAATTGGCATATGTACTGAAAGGGGCCCAAGCCATGACAGGATGTCGATCTGGATTTATGGAATTGGCAAAAAAGAAGAACCCTAGGATAATTGGTTCTCACTGCATTATTCATAGACAAGCTTTGGTTAGTCAGACTTTACCTGAACCTCTCAACGTCACATTAACTTAGCAATTAAAATAGTTAACCACATCAAATCCAGAGCATTAAACACTAGGCTCTTTCAGGTACTATGTCAAGAACTGAATAGTGATCAGGAAACCCTTCTGTTTCACACAGAAGTCCGGTGGTTATCCAAAGCAAATATGCTTGCAAGATTATTCAATATAAAGTAAGAAGTTGAAATTTTGTTAATGACTTCAAAACAAGATGATCTTCACAGAAGATTTACAGATGATAAAAATATCTTTTACTTGGCTTATTTGTCTGACTTTTTTGAGACACTTAATGTCCTGAATCTGAAGCTTCAAGGCCGTAAAAACCTCTTAAACACTTATAATGCAATTAAGGGGTTTATAGACAAAAATCGCTTTGGCAACGCTGCCTTCACAGTTCCAGATAAGCTTTTCCTCTTTTCCTTTCCACTACATCTAGTTTCGGATTTGAAAGACGTTATATCATGGCATTTGGAAGAACTGAAAAATCAAATTCCAAGTACTTTCCAGATGTTAGCTTGGAAAACTGGGAATTTAAGTTGGCAAGAGATCCTTTTCATATCGAAGTTGACATTCTTCCAGTTAACCTTCAAGAGCAGGCAATTGACCTAAACTGTGATTCACAAGCAAAAGCAGATTTTGCAAACATGGACTCAGAAGAATTTTGGTTAACCTACTTTCCTGTTTACCCAGAAGTGGCTTTAGTATCTGCGCAGTTATTAGTCCAGTTTTTAAAATATACATTTTTCCACGAAAAATCAAAATCTTTGATCTTCAATAACTCAAAAAGTATTTATTTTAATAACTTTATAAGAGAAATTTTGTTTAGATTTGGTCCCTTTATCGATTCCTGGGGTTATTTTTAATAAAATAATTTCCGTCCACGAGAAGGGGTGGCATCCTCCCTCGGGGTAAAAGCGCAAGTTGACACCATGTCACTTTTGTTTCTTAAGGTATCCCCTAACTACTCTCCAATTTTCATGAAAATCGATGGAGGTTCAACGAAATCGGAATAAAAACCTTCAGTGAGTGTACTAATAGAACAAAAATCAACTCACCTTTAAAAATAGATTGACGTCTTCAAAAGCATCGGTATTATTGATCAACAGCAAACTGGCGGCCATTTTCTCGAACTCGCAGCACAACAAGAACGACCTCAGCGTTTCGATGGCGACTTTCGCAGGCAGCATCTTGTAGGCGTCTCTATTCAAACTGAAACCGTATTTTTCTCTGGCGGAATCGATCTTCTTGATAGCTGGTGATATGGCGCCCATGTAGGACGAAACGCAAGTCAGTAGGATGGTAAACAGTTCGGGAAACTGCTGCAGACATATGTCTTTAAGATGCGAGTTTTTCAGGAGTTCGTGTAGGGCGCAAACCGCTTGCAAGGGTTGGAGATTCGCTATTCTCACGTTGCCGTTGCTTTGATCTTCGTAGAGGGGCGTTGATTTTATCGCTTTCTTCAATTGATCGATTAGGTCGGCCGCCAGGGTGAGGTCTATGGATATGATGGACCAGCATTCACAAATGGCACTAAAGAACGACATACAAATGAAAATGTTCTCGTTTATATATCTTTTTACGGTAAAAATCACATATATCTATCTATATAAAAGACTATGATGACAAGCCATACCGCTTGTTCAGTAAAATAACGACGCCATCTAGGAAAGTAATCTGAACTACCACCATTTGACATTTCAAACATATTTTGTTCTTGAAACGATACGTTTAATTAATAATACTGTGTTAATTACATATTAATATTATTAATAATTGAATTGGTTATTTCCATGGACGTATAAACACAGATGGATTCAGTTATTTACATAAAATTGTGAAGTCAAAATTATTTGAATAGGTCACATTCTCAGCACCTTCAACTGTTGTCAAGTTTTGTTTTAAAATTTCTTATTCGCGAGTCGCTGAAAATATTACTCCGTATTTTATACTTTACAGGTGCTATCAAACCAAAATAATAATTTATTGGTTAGATTAATATATTTAATTGTAATCAAAATATAAAGTGTGCACATAGTGTGCATTATGTCATTTAATAATAGCGTATAATAGATATCAATCAATTATTTTATATGTAGAAGCACTGAAAACTATTTATAAATGGCAACGGTTGTTTACATTTCTCTGTCTTATGGATCTACGTCAAACTTCAAATGCTAATCCATGTTTGTTTACTTTTTAGTAAAAGTTGTTTTTCGATATTTTGGCTGTATTTTGAGTGATATTTGTGAAAAGTGAAATAAAATAAACGAAATATTTACATCCCGATCTCTCATTTCATTTGTAAGTACATACAATTTACATTATTTAAGATGAGGAAATAAGGAAGCGTGTTTGTTTACATTTTAATAGGCGTACCATTGGGTTTATTCATGTTCATTAATGTATTGAATAAGATATAGTATGAAATTAGTAGACATTTTTAAATTGTAAGTAGACATCATCTGATTAAAAAAGATCTGTTTAGTACCTTTTAAAAACGTGTTTTTATACATTATTACTACTTCCAATTTTTCAAATCTGAATAATTTCCCGCGCGTAAAAATTCAAGCACGCTTATGCTCATTGCGGATGCATCACATTCTATGGAAGCTTCAAAACATTGTGTGTTAAAGGTATCTTATTGCTGTGTCCATCTATGTTTATACGTCCATGGTTATTTCGAAAAGGCCACAACTCCAGAAATGTTAATTTTACAGGAAACAAAAAAACGTTTCATTTTGGTATGAATGAAGACATCTTTCTTTTTTCGGAGTAAAGTCTCAAAATGTAATGCATGACGAAGTTTCATTAACAAATCCAACATAAAAAAGACAGGTACACTGTAAAAAATAATTTAGTTTTTGGAGTTATGGCTTTTCCAAACACTGATGATTTTATGATTAATAATAGAAAACTCCAATATTATTAAGGAAAAAATTTATTAGGTGGTAAAAAACATGTTGAAGGTTAAGAAATAGTCTTTTAGGAATCTTCCTCTAAAAATATTATTCCTTCTTCATAAAATCAGCTCATTATAAAAAAACATTTTGTCTTCTGGCACATATTGTACAAGTTTCTTGATGTTGTCCATTTTTTTTCGAATTAATATGGATTTTTTCTGTGTAAGCAGACTCTGTTGGCAAACTAGGACAAACTCCAGCTGGTTTTTCCAAGGAAAATTCATTAAACATAAGCCCATCGATAAATGGACGTATTTTAACAATTCCCTGATTTTTGTTGTCATATTCGAACTCATTATATTAAGAAATTTGAAAAGTTGTTTTCTCAGGTTTGGTTTTTTTCCATAGGAGTCAATGGAGAGTACAGTTTTCATTTTTCAAAATTGTTTCATTTTTTACCAGTTCTTTTCTACAAGACCCGATTAATAATACCTTTCTCTCTTTTCCTTTGTTTATTTTCAATAATAACATTGGTTTCACTATCAGAGCTACTTATTTTTGTATAAACAATACACAATGGAACCTAATCGTACTAAAGATAATCGTCAACTGGTCTAGGAAACTAGGAAGGTCCGCGACTGTAACCACTAAATCACAAGTGGCCTTTGCCATGGAAATTGCTTATATAAATTATGGTAAAAAGGAAGAAAACAATAACACTGATAGATAACAACACTTACTTGTCAAATGGTAACGGTTGATTAAGTAGAATGCCACATACAGTCTTAGAATGATGCATCGCTAGATTCAGAACAGCCCTATAGGTGGAAGACTTGGTTCTTGGGCATCGAATCTGGTATAACTGTTTTAGTAGTTTTTCAATAACTGGTACCACATGACTCAACAATTCTCCACCTATAAAAATTGCATACTTAACTAATACAGTTTATTCCAGCAGTTACATCAAGTTGTGCTTTTGTTGTTTCCTTCTATTATTTGGGGAAGTAATTTTGGAAAACTTTAGGCATTCAGTGATAGGCAGGTACCAAATTTTGTTAATATAATTTAATAATTGTAAGAACTTCAAATTTTAGATAGGTTGTTTTAAATTTATATTGTTTATATTAGATACATATATATATATATATATATATATATATATATATATATATATATATATATATAAATGTCTGTTTCATAATAGTTATAATAAAGATAATTTAAAAAAGTACTTACAAACTAATTCTTTGAGAACCGCGATAAAAACCCTATATTTATATATATTATTCAAAATTACTCGTAGCTCATACACAAACAAAACATAATAGCAATATATATATATATATATATATATATATATATATATATATATATATATATAAAAGGTAGTCCAAATTTTTTTATGACTAGTTTGGAAAAAATATGTAAACACTTTTTTCTTTTTGGGTGTGGTAGTCAATAAAAAATAGAGCTTTGCTAAGGCGTACTATTTATTCTGAAATCCGAGCTTTCGTTGGTTGTTTGCCACCTTTATCAAGGTCTACAATGAAAATTACTGTGTTATAAACTTTGGCTGATGCAATATAAAAGTTATAAAAACTTACCAGAAAGTAAGATTCATAGCATATAAAACACAACGTTAAATAACATAATGTGATCTGAATTACTGAAGGCATTAAAACTGTTAAAACTTTTAAAATAACTTAAAAATTATTGACTTAAAAATTAAAGAACATGTTACAAAGTTTAAAATGTAAAAAATAAGACGACATGTTTGACAAAAAACAGTCGTCTTCGCAGGTTTGAATTCAGTCACATCTCACGAACAGAAAGAGGCAGTAGGAGGAACTATTGTTGTTTAAATAGTTCGATGTAACTACAAAAAACAAACTTTCAAACTGATGTCTAACAAAATACCGTTTGTGATTTTAAGTACTACCAAACATATTACCAACTTTAAATTGAGAGGGAAATTTAAAAAAGTTCATTATGTCAAACAATAAAACGAAAATAGTATTTAGTAAGTAGGTTTAGAAAAAACAAACAACCAAAAACAAAATGAACCATCTGAATAATAACTGAAGTTAATCATGATAATTATAGCAATTAATAAAGGAATTTAAGAAACAAGACAGGAAACACTCTGAGATGCAGAAGACCCTAGTCAAAAGTCAAAATAAAATTGTAAATTTTGCTAAGATTCTGGATCTTAAATTTTTAAGTTATTTTAAAATTTTTAACAGTTTTAATGCCTTCAGTAATTCAGATCACATTATGTTATTTAACGTTTTGTTTTATATGCTATGAATCTTACTTTCTGGTAAGTTTTTATAACTTTTATATTGCATCAGCCAAAGTTTATAACACAGTAATTTTCATTGTAGACCTTGATAAAGGTGGCAAACAACCACCGAAAGCTCGGATTTCAGAATAAATAGTACGCCTTAGCAAAGCTCTATTTTTTATTGACTACTATATATATATATATATATATATATATATATATATATATATATATATATATATATAATATATATATATATATATATATATATATATATATAGATTCATTTAATTTGCTCGTCTAAGCAGTGTTTTTTAGAACAGCTTTAAGAAGATAATGAAAAATCGGCCACAATATATGACATTTTATTATTAACAATAAAATTAGGCAGTTATAAATTCTGCAAGAGCGCAATACATCGGATCATAGGATGTGGGAAGTGCGGCATTGTCTTTAAAGAAATTTTCGAGATTTTCAGTGGTCAGGTTTGATGGAATTTCCATACATGGTGTATCGAAATCTTTTTCTCCTTGAAAACAAACGTCCCTAGTGTGTTCCGGGGTCGCTTTCTCGTTACACACTTCCTGTATGCTTAAGTGCTTTATTTGGTTCTGAATTTCATGAAGGCAACTGCAGTAAAACGGATTTCCAGCCAACGATATTTTCTTTAAGTTGGTTAAAAGTTTCAAGGGACCCTTCTTGGTAGTATCTAATCGCATAATCCAGTTGTGATCTATAGCCAGATATTTTAAGTTCGGATAAAAATTTGACGGAAGTAGCGACATCGGAATAGTTGTCAACTTGTTGTAAGATAGAATGATCGTATGCAAATTAGGGTTGTCCTTAAATGTATTAATCTCTACATATTCTATCTGGTTGTACGCAAAATTGACTATTCTTAAATTCTTCCTCAATCGAAACCAATCTGCTCTAAGCTCTGTAAATTTATTATGCGAATACCACAAATTGCTAATACGGTCCGGGTATTGTTGTTTAACGTTTGTAAACGAGGTTTTGAGTCTATTATTATTAAGGTTTATATGTGCTATGGATCCCACTACGCCAAAAAAAGTATCATCCGTGGTATCGTTTATTTGGTTATGTCCCAAATCTAATAACTTAAACATTGGACACGATATAATGATCATAGAATTAAGTATAGTAAGATGATTGCTATTCAACAGCACCTCTCGTAACTTGGGCAACTCGAAAAACGCAGATTGCGCTATGAATACAATACCAGTATTAATCAAGTGAATCGATTCCAAATTATCCATTCCAGAAAATGACCAAGGATTTAAAACTGCTAGGTAAGTGTCGGTTATTCTAATCCTTATCCAGTTGTTCATTTCGTTGTAACTATTTGGATTTAAATAACATCTTCTTGATGACGTGTTATCGATATCAAGATTTGAAGCGTTTGAAAAACCCAATGGATGGAGGTTAAAGTAACTGATAATATTAATCATATCTCTGCAGCTGATAGTTTCACCCCTTTTTTTACAATAAGTATTAAAATCCCAAGAATATGCATTAGGGTTTCCTCTGCAAACCACTATTGAAACAATCACGACTAGTATTGTTAACCACATTACTGATAGAACTCTATCGTACTTCTGGCTTAAAACTTCACACATTTCATAAAACAAATTACAATAGAACATAAAAATTATCTTGATTATAATAGTTTTAATTAGAAAGCAATTTATAACCACTGTTATTAGAAAATGTATGTACAGAATGGGATAGCAAAAATTCTATATTGTTTTCTATATGCCGTTCACAAATTGTTAAGACCACGAAATGTGCCTCAAAGTCATAAAACGGTCGTAAAATTTGTATCATCATAGGCGTTCCTGAGGTGTTTATTCATTAAAATTAATACATTTTACATTTATTTTCCAAAATGTTTATCAATATTACTAATGTTTTAATACTAATATATTTAGCAAAAAACAATTAAAACTTTCACTTTTACTAATATTGGTTATTATATTATATTAAAATAAGAATTTAACCATTAACCATTTTGTAAATAAAAATACCTTATCTCTTTGAATATTTCAATACTAATCTTCGCGTTTAATCACTTTACTAGAAAACCTGGAATTCATATCCGAAGGTACTATTCGTTGCAAGATAATTAGGATGGAATTCCCAGATTTTTAATAACATAATGGGTATAAAGATGCCGGCTTTGGCCACGTGCCTCGTCTGTTCGGTTTATATTCGAAACTTAACTTGAAAGTGAAGGTGAAGTTATTACGAACGAAAACAATTTGTTTTTAGTACGTTTTTGATCGCATGCAATTTACGGCTCGTCGGTGTTTCCGCGTCTACGGCAGTAATTAGTGTCTCGAATATTTCGTTTAGGTATAGCAAAACAGGGTATAGCTAACCCAAATAAAAACGAACACTTAAAAAAGAGGGAAAAAGCCTATTGAAATTGATGAATTTGCCAAAAATGGTATTCGAAGGAAAATTCATGGATTTTTTTTTTCAAAAAAGAAATACCAAACCTAAACAAAATTTTACAAGAAGTTAGAGACGACCCGGATTTGCCTCTTATCGGACGAACTAAATTGTGGCAAGTTTTAAAAGAATTAAATTTCCGGTGGGAGAAATCAGACCGAAAATCACTTTTGATTGACCGGGAGGAGATAATATGTTGGAGAAGATATTATCTAAGATCCATACGAAAATTCCGGGCTGAAGGAAGGTCAATCTTCTACCAGCATGACACGCAGGTAAACTCAGGTCATACTGGTATCTCCCCACCTTCTGGTAAAGGCAGTTGATTAATAATTTCTCACATTGGCAGTGAAAAAGGATTTGTTAAGCATGGTATGTTGGAATTTCAGTCCAAAAGTACAAAAGTTTATGACGAGGAGATGACAGCTGATGTTTTCGAAGAGTATTTTGAGCAGTTGATTGAACACATACCACCAAATTCAATTATAGTATTAGATAATGCACCTTATCATTCACGACTAGTAGAAAGACTTCCAACGACTGCGTGAAAGAAACAGGATATTCTTGATTGGCTGCGGAATAAGTATCTGCCTTACGAAGATGGAATGGTAAAAGCAGAACTTTTAAAAATTGCCTGGCAACACAAATCTAAGCTCAAGAAATACGTAGTTGACAAAATGGCGGAAAGGCGAAACATCACAGTCCTTAGACTTCCACCCTACCACTGCGAAATAAATCCAATTGAACTCATTTGAGCACAAATGAAAAGTTATGTGGCGCACTCGGAATAACAACAACCACAGCCACCTTTACTTCCAAGCGATGAAGTAGAAATTTGGCAAGAACGCGTGGTAGTCCGACTGTGGTTTGTTTTGGTTTAACATTTCATATAGGAAGGCTTGTAAAGTTTGTTGAATTTATTGTTTTTTTAACTTTATTCGAATGTTTTATTTGTAAATTGTGTTTAAATCAATTAGAAAATATTAATATAAGTAAAATTTCATTAAATTTAGAACTTTTAGAAGATTCTTAACGACAATTTAAAAGGCAAGTATAAATATAACCTACAAAACAAACTGAAAATAATAATACTTTTGCTTCTTGTTACAAAATATGTAAACTGAAAACAACAATAATAATACTTTTGTTTTTTTGTTACAGATGCTCTGGCATTGTTGTGTACCTGGTTGCAAAACCAATTATGCCAGTACTTTAAAAACGAAACAGGCAGAAAGTATGTTTTTGTTTCCAAAAGATCCCCAAAGAAGGTATACTGGCTTATGCTCTATTCATAGAGAAGGCTGTACAATTACCAAATCGTCCGTAGTATGTGCCAAACATTTTCATGAACATTGAAAAGTTAATATTTCCCAAATTAAAAGGCAATGCAGTTCCTAATATATTTCCTGAAGTACCATCATATGTAAGTGTTCATCGTACTAAAGAAAGAAGGAATCCCGAAGACAGAAGAAACTTTTTGCATAAGAAGAGGGAACAAGAGATAACATAATTATGTCAATTAGACTTAGACAATAATATCCCATTGAAAAACTGGACAAGTAAAATTACAAGTGACTGTGTATATTTCTATGTATTAAACATTAATCAGTTGGAACACAAGTGTGATAATATTTGTGTAATATGTAGTGTAATAGTTAGCAGTAATTTTAGTGTAATCGTTAATGTAGGTAAGAATAGATTAAGTGGTAATGATTTGAAATGGATTTTACAATATATTAAATTAACAAGATGGTCACAATTAGAGAACTTACTTTCTCATTTAGATCTGCTTTTTAGATAAGTGATAACAAATTTGAGTATTACATTCAAAAATCTTTTGAGAATATAGGCTATTTTAAATCGATATATAAGTTATAAATGGTATGTTACATTCAACACAATTTTCATGTATACCTCTTTTAACTTGGTCTATATGACAACAAACCTATTCATATTTAAAATTGCTACTTTTGTATATCTAAGTATGAAAATTCAACAAAAGTTATAAGTAAATAGTAAAATATTTAATTTTCAATTAGATTAATTTAGAACCATATTTATATTGTGTCTGATTTCTTAGGATGAATTTTTTAATCATAATAGTTACACTAAGTTTTTACTTAGCACAAATTTTATATCTTTTGTATTTTTAATAATCTTTTTAAATGTCGTGTTAATGTATTGTGTTATTTATATGCTTAGGTACTTAATATTTAAAATTTCTAGAAATTCTTGACTGCATTTGATTTTAAGATTAACTGTTTGACACTGTATTTTAAGTGCAATAAATTTTACATGATTAGTGATTATTTTATTGATAATATAACCTAAATAATAATAAAAATTTATATATATTTACTAGGTATATATAAGGTTTTATTAATTTAATTTCCCTAAAAATATTTATGTAATGAATTGAAGTTTTCAAAATATCAGTTTCCTAAAATTCAAATTAGTTTAATATTCTGGTAGACCTTACAGCTGATTATCGGACTACCGACGTCATAGAATGCGGTGTTGCCTTTTTTACTTCATGGCTTGGAAGTAAAGGTGGCTGTGCAACAACCCAAAACATACTAAAACTCAGAAACGTAGTAACACAAAGTATATCTCTGCAAACCAAACTGATGTAAGGACTGTGAGGTAACTGTAAAATTTGCGCGCGAATATTAGGAGCACGTGGTGGACCAGCGGCATTGGCTAATAATTATCATTTCTATGGACAGCGCTGGTCCCATGGAACCTTCTTCTTCATGTACCATGTCCTTTCAGAACGTTGGTTACCATCATAGCTATTTTAATTTTATTCACTGCCACCCTAAATAGCATGCTTGTATCTACACCATACCAATCTCGCAAGTTCTTCAACCATGAGGTTCTTCTTCGTCCTGGACTGCGTTTGCCTGCTATTTTTCCTTGCATGATGTTTTGTAGCAATCTATATTTGGGACCTTTCATTACATGTCCGAAATATTCCAGCTTTCTCTGCTTGATGCTTTTTATGATCTCAGTAGTCTTGCTGAGACGTTCTAGTATTGTGGAGTTACGAATCTTCTCCACCCAGGAAACTTTTAAAATTCTTCTATAGCACCACATTTCGAAAGCCTCAAGGCGATTTAGATCGATTTTATTCACAGTCCAGGACTCGACAGCATAAAGTAAGACCGAGAACACGTAGCAGCGAAGTAGGCGAATCCTTAATGCCAATTTTAGGTCTCTGTTACATAACACCTTGGACATCCTTCTAAAAGCAGCTCTAGCCTGCTCTATTCTGGATCTAATTTCGCCGTGATTTTCTGCATTACAATTTAATTGCTTTCCAAGGTAGACGATTTTATCAACTTGCTCAAGTTTGGTATTACTTACATATATAGACCGTTTTATATTCTGTTGTTTACTTATTACGAGTATTTTGGTTTTCCTTATGTTAAGATCCAGACCTGCCTCCCTACAACTCTCAACGACACTATCAAGTAGTGTTTGCAGATCTTCTTGACTAGAAGCTAGGAGTACTGTATCGTCCGCATATCGCAAATTATTGATGACTTCGCCGTTCACAAGTATTCCTTCTTGTTTTTCAGAAAGTGCTTTTCTGAAAATTCTTTCGGAGTAAACGTTAAAAAGCAGGGGTGACAAGAGGTATCCCTGCCGTACTCCTCTTTTAATATTGAGAGCTTGTGATTCCACACCATCTACTAAAACTGATGTTGTTTGATTCCAATATAAATTTGCAATTATTCGAACATCTCTGCCGTCCATGGAACCAGCAAAGAAAAAAATTAATTACAAAAAAACTAAAAATTTTAGAGTAATATACTATATCGTAACAGTTAAGATTTTTAATAATCTATGTGGTACCATAAACAGCCCACATAGTAAAAATGCTAAATTATGTCAGGCAGTGAACGTGTTAAACTGTAAGATTTTAATCAAGCTAGTTTGTACACAAAATAATAAATCCTCCACCTTCAAAAATATGTTTATCTGTGACATTGTCGCACTTACCTTTGTTTTTTAGAATAACATTAAGGACTACACTGCTTCCGTTGGAGCTTGAAGGCTCGCAATCCAGCAGAGCGTCAGTCAAGCCGTCGATGCAGTGAATTAGTTGAAAGGAAGGAAGATTGATGCATATAATATGCGCCAAATCCGAGGTTAAATTGTACAACAGCTTCGGTTCATCGGAATCGATCTGCTGGTGGATATGCTGCAACGAATTGCTCAGCACTTTGTCGTGGTCCCTCATGTGGCCCTCGTATCTGGCCGCTATGCACAAAATGATGCACAAGCACTCGACGGCCACCTTTCGGATGTTCTTGTTGGGATCTGTACACCTCGGAACGACTTTGGACAACAGGAATCCGGTTTGGCCGAACGTGGTGGGACATTCGTAGGCGAACTTCATATTGTCCAAGTAGGTTTGAAGAACTAACCGCAAGGTTTCGGCCGCTGGTAGTCTCTGCTCCTGTCGCTTCTTACCTAAATAATAAACCGTTTGATACGATTCATGCTAACCTAACGAAACGTACTCACTTAACCACGGTTCCAATAAAGTAACGATTTCATCCAAGGTGGCGGGAGAGAGATTCTGCAGCAGTAAATCCTTCACCAGCTGATTCAACTCGGTGAAACTCTTGGTAACGTGTGGCACCAGCTTCAGCTCTCCGTAATACTTATCCGTGTTGTCCGGATTGATCTTGCAATAAACCGTCGCTGCGTTGTAGACGTTGTCGAAGAACAGTTTAAGCAATTTGATTCTATCTTCGGATTCTATCGGTACAGGAAGCCTTACTAGAGCCGTAACCGTTGGGATGATTAGAGGAAAAAGTTCTATGTATTCGGGGCCGCTGTGGAGATGAATGTGAGAAGAAACCAACCTGTGATTTGTAAAAAAAAATGTGTCAAACTGGTGTACTAAAATTCCCATCGAAATAAATATCACCGGAACCTCGGTCCATTATACAAGTTTACGCCCCTACAGCAGACAAGCCAGAAGAAGAACTAGAGCGATTTTATCAACAGCTAGACGAAGCCTTAAAGGTAACTAAGAATCACGAAATTAACATCGTATTATAAGACTTTAACGCAAAAATTGGGGAAGGAGCCGTAGATCAAGTAGTTGGAAAATATGGTCTTGGTCAGAGAAACGACAGAGGAGACAGATTGATACATTACTGCCAAGATAAAGATCTAGTCATAACTAATACTTAGTATAAGTTATCAAGGACATCAGGGCATTATAAAGAACCAAATAGATTATGTGACAATTAATAGAAGGTACAGGAATGCTATTACTAAGATATCTGCATTACCTGGAGCAGACATAGGATCCGACCACAATCCCTTAGTAGCAAATATCAAACTGAGGCTCGCTACAGCTAAAAGAAAACACCAGAAGGCATCAGTAAACATTAGAAAACTCAAAAACAATGAAACAAGTGAACCGTGCACAGAGGACCACCATGGAAGGATCATTTGATGAGGTGAACAACACTTTTCTACTCGAGAGTAAAACAACTACCAAGAATGAGTGGATGACAGAAGAAATATTAGAGATGATCGAACAACGCAGGCAGTGTAAGATTAGGCAGGACCTAGTAGGGTACCGAAATATACACAGTCAAATTCGTAAAGAAATTATAGCGGCGAAGGAGATCTGGATGACTACAGCTTCAATCTTCACAAGAAAATTAAGGAAATTGCGGGTGTCTTCAAGAAAAAACAAGTCACTGGTATACATAATGACCAAAATGAACTAATAACGGACCCTAGCGATATATTTAATACTTGGAAAATGTACACAGCCAATTTGTTCAATGATGACAGAACACAAAAACCACCACAACTGGGAGACCGTTTGTATGGCGCAATTATTTTGAAAGCTGAAATTGTACACGCTATCAAATTGTTTGTTGATTGTTTAAGAAATGTGAAGAGGTCAGTGGATAGAGTTAGTTTGGTTTCAAAAATGGACTTGGCACGAGAGAAGCGATCTTTAGTATGCAAACATTAATACAGAATTGTTTAGATCAAAGAAAGGATGTTCTTGTCTGTTTCATCGATTATGAGAAAGCATTGGATAATGTAAAACACGAATTGATGATAAAATACCTACAAGAGTTGGGATTGGATGCCAAGGATATAAGAATTATCGCCAATCTGTATTGGAACCAGACAGCAACAGTATGTCTTCAAAGAAACAGAAGATTTCTCCATTAAAAAAGGAGTAAGGCAAGGTTGTATACTGTCTCCAATGCTGTTCAATTTATACGTAGAGAAAGCCTTCGCAGAAGCAGTGGCAGACTCTAATAAGGGTATTATTAAAGTTGACGGCATATTTATTAATAACATCAGGTATGCCGATGATACAGCCATAGTGGCAGATAACATCGAAGATCTTCAATGCCTTTTAAATGATCTAACTCTTGTAAGTGAAGCTCGGGGTTTGAAAATAAATATCAAGAAGACAAAAACAACGATTATAAGTAGAAATGATTACCCCAACGCAAAGATATATGTCTCTGGAGAAGAAATCGAACAGGTCAGGTAATTTAAATACTTGGGTTGTTTTCTGAACGAGGGTTGAACGAGGGACTCCGAGAATGAAATAAAGAGCAGAGTTGAACAAAGCAGAAATGCTTTTTTGAGGTTTCGTAAGTTTCTGAGTGATCGCAAATTGGACTTCAACCTCCGATACAAGATGCTTAAGTGTTACGTGTGGCCTGTTCTCTTGTACGGAATGGAAGCATGGACGTTAAAGGCCAGTTCCATTAACAAACTTGAAGTATTTGAAATGTGGTGCCTGCGTTGAATGCTTAGAATATCATGGACGGACAGGGTCAGAAATGAGGAAGTACTCAGAAGAGCGGGCTTACAGGATAAGGAACTTTTTAGTTATGTAAAAAGTAAGAAGACTGCATACTTAGGGCACATATTACGAGGAGAAAGATACACTTTTCAGCAACTGATACTCGAAGTGAAGATAGAGGGTAGGAGAGGTCTGGGACGTAAAAAATGTCATGGCTGCGCAATATTCGACAATTTTCAGGAATCCACAGCTATGAAATGCTTCGCAATGCTGATAAAAACAGAATTATTTAATCCTGAATATTTAACATCTCACCTGACAAGACGATGTACGGTGGACGCCTACGCAGAAATGCACGGCACCTTAAGAAGAAGAAGGAACCTCGAAAAAAACCTTTGATGTAATATTGTAAATGTTTATATTGTAAACTTACCTAATAATATTATCCCTGTCGTTCATCTTCACGTGTAGAGAATTCCTATTAGGATGCATGGCATCGGCTGCAGCCTGTATGGTCCTGAGGCATATCTTCCGTATAGGAAAATCCTTACTGTTCACCAATTCCCCGACGGCATACTCCAAGATCTCGCTCTGTATGACCTGCAGCAGCTCGTGAGAAGGAGCTTCATTGCACACTTGCGCGTAACTGCATAGCACTGTGTAGCGCAAACGGTCCAAGGCCACTTCGTGTTTCTGATCCTTCAAGAAGTTGAGAAACTTTGAGGATTTCTTCGTGAGTACCTCCTTTCTGATGGTAGCTAGTTTTTCGAGCACCAACTGTAAATGCGTTCGCGAACAAATGCCTACGGCTTCTGCGCATGTCTGGGATTCCGCGTAATCCGTCAATTTGACGTTGTTCAAAATAGAATCTAAAGTTTGCATAACGGTTTCTTTGTCTTTGAGGTAACATAACGCTATAGCGAGGCATTTTAATAGGAACTGTTTTTCTGATTGTTTAATTTGATAGTCTCCATTTTGGCTTGCAATGTATCTTGTACTGCTGTAAATATCCAGTTGCTTCTTGGCATTTATCACGATGATCTCGTTAAAGGACTCGTTACTGGTCGTTTCCAGCAGAATATTCAAAAAATCAAACACTAAATCGTGCCATTCGATGACATTAAAGTTTTCTAAATTCTGCTCCAGATACTTCAACAGTTGCGGGATCTTCCCGTCCCAAACGATTTTATAACTTTCCACGCTACACGGTTTTATGTTTTTAAGGAAGTTCAGAATGAAGCAACCTCTAAAATTAGGCATGGGTCTCGCTAGAAGCGACAACCCTCTCACGAACGCCGTCTCACAGCTCTCCACTTTGTCTCTTTTCGACGCTAAGTGGGTTAGGCATCTTAATATGACAACTACAGCGTCGTCGTAGGCTGGATTCAAAAAACATTTTAAAAGTAAATTCCATAAAACTGATTCCAGCTCCGGAACGGAGGTGCTCAACATATATAACGTATTATCAGTAGATTTTTGAATATTATCCAACTCTTGAGGATCGAGAATGATACTTTTAGGCAGAATTTGCTTGCAACACATCTTCAAGATGAATTCAATGTACTTTTCAGGACCGTCTGGGTTAATTTCTGAAAGATTATAAAGACGAATGAATTAATGAGGATACAAAAATACCTAAACAACTTTTAAAATATCAATACCTTTGAACTTTGCTTCATTTGGAGCAAAAATCTTTGATAAATGGCTCTATTTATCTCAATAAAGCGATTCGGTAATAATTTATCACATTGCGAAATGAATTTCGCCTAATCTGCGAAAATTTAAGTCCCGTGTTCAAAATAGGATGCTCTAATTGGTGGAACGCATCGGAAATTAAAAGTTATCTATCAATAATGAGTTTATTTATCTATCTATCTATAGCTCAAAATTTATTCATGTGTTGAATATAGGCCTCTCCCGTTTGTCTCTCATTTGTCTCTTTTCCATTTGTGTCTTCTGTTTGTCTTTTTGCAGTATATGTCTCCAGCGGCCAATTTCTTTATTCCATCTTCCATCCTGATATCTTTCGTTATGTCCAGCCCATTTCCATTTTAATTTCAATGCATGTTCAACAGCGCAGCGTCTGTTGCTTCGGTGTTGCATCTTATCCACTCCTTCCTCTTTTTATCTCTCAACGATATTTGCAACATTTGTCTTTCCTTAGCTCTTTTCTTTATTTTCTTTTCTTTATTCTATCTAAGTTGCTCTTGGTACACGTCCACGTCTGGGCACCATATGTCAGAACAGGTAGGGCGCTTGCATTAAATACCTTCGTTCTTAATTTTAAAGGTATTTTTGGTTTTTGATAGTATATGAGAGTTTTCCGAATGCAGCCCACCCCATTCTTATTCTTCTGGTTATTTCTTTAGTCTGGTTACTTTTGTCTGCTCTGATAGCTTGTCCTAAGTAAATATATTCTTGGACATGTTCTATGTTTGTTCCACCTATGGTAATTACTGATCTGTCTTCTGTATTAGTTATTATTTTAGTTTTCTTTAGATTCATTTTTGGTCCTTTCTCAAGAGATGTTTTTTCTAGGTCTGAAATCATTATTTGTAGTTGTTCCATAGTTGTTGCTATCAGGAGTATATCATCGGCGAATCTTAGATGATTTAAATATTTCCCGTCTATATAAATTTCTTTATTGTCCCAGTCTATAAATTTAAAAATGTCTTCCAACGCCAGAGTAAATAGTTTGGGTGAGATTGTATCCCCTTGTCTGACACCTCTACAAATTCTAATTAATGGAGTTTGCAAATTTCTGTCTAGCTGAAGTCTCATAGTGGCATTTTGATATATATTGTGGATTAACATTCTGTACCGTGAATCTATTTAACAATTAACTAGCGCTTCTTCCACTGCCCATAGTTCTATGCTGTCAAACAATTTTTCATAGTCAAAAAACGCTAGGTATATTGGAAGGTTGTATTCGTTGGTCTTTTCTATCAATATTTTAATAGTGTGAAGGTGGTCGGTTGTGCGTACCCCTTTCTAAATCCTGCTGCTCAACTGGTTGGTATGCATCAAATTTGTTGTTTAGTCTAGTTGTGATCACCTTAGTGAAAGTTTTATAGATTTGTGACAAGAGAGATATTGGTCTATAGTTAGCTAATTTTGATCTATTTCCTTTCTTATACAGTGGTGAGTGCTTTATCGCCCGGCTTTTTAACGTAAGAGATAGAAAACACAGTTACCTTGTGAAATAAAAAGAGATGAAACTCGTAAAGGTGGGAAATAATCGATAGAAACCTATAATTTACATTACATTACATTACCACCGTCGATAGTCTCACACCTTTAGCCGTTATTATAGTATTAGAAGTGTTTAAAGTCGCTTTAAAACTCGGCAAAATAGCGGAAAGGATAGAAGATGGATTTTGTGAGAAAGAATGAGATAAAGCTAGTTCTTAGACGTGGCTATTTGACTTCAGTCATAATTATACGGATAACCGCGAAAATATTTTATTTTAATATCTTCTGATGTAAGAATAAATGATTGAATAAATTAAGAATTAAAGTAAAAAACATTAATTAGTAGCGATTTTAAATTATAAATCTTTAAGTTTATTTAATAATAAAAATAACTCAACTCAACTGAAATATTTGACTAAACTAAAGGTAGGTATGTTCTGTCCGATACTATTTATTGTATGTGGAGTTGGTGTAATTATTAGACACGTAGTCTATTGACAAGAAGATTGGGGTTCAATTCCCACCAAGGATAAAATTTTTGTTTTACTCAATCAAAAAATAATAGAAAATATTATACATATTAGGTAACAAGTTTTCGAAAAACTCATTATTTATAATTTATTCTTATTCCAATGTTATAAAACAGAAATACAAAATAATTCAAATTCAAAAATATATTTATGTGTAACTTTAAACACTTCTAATACTAGTAACGACTGACATAAATGTTTAGTGATTCAAATCAAAACGATCTCTGCATAATTTCAAATTATTATTAAAAAAAAAAAGAAAACCACACGTGGGTTTTGAACTCTAATCGTCTGCGTCGCAGTGTCGAATTCTTACCACTAATCCACGAAGGACTGATGTTTATTTCCGTGACAAGAGTGTATGAAACTCCTCAAATCATAGAAATTATTTTTGGTTAATAATTTAAAATTTTAGATTAAATAATCACTATTAATTAATTTATTTTATTCACATTTTTGCTTTATTGTGGTCAATCATTTTTTACTTTATGCGAAATTAAAAAATGTCACTGAAATATGTTACACATACGATGTCACAAATAATAATTATGACCGAGGTGATTTAGCTGGAAGCTAACGTCTAAAGGTGTGAGACTATCGATAGTGTTAATGCAATGTAATGTAAATTATAGGTTTCTATCGATTATTTCCCACCTCTACGAGTTTCATCTCTTTTTATTTCACAAGGTAAATGTGTTTTCTATCTCTTACATTAAAAAGCCGGTTGATAAAGCACTCACCACTGTATATCAGAATTGTATTTGCCTTGTTCCACTCTTGGGGTATTTGTCCTTCAAACAAACATTTATTGAAAAGTATCTTTAGGTAGTCTTTTATCTTTCCCCTCTTTCTTTTAACATTTCAATTAGAATTTCATCGTCTCCCGTAGTCTTATTTCTTTTCATATCTCTAATTGCTTTTTCTATTTCTTCTCCGGTTATGGGGGATAATATTTCAGAGTATACATTCATTATTTTCTTTTTCAGGTTTTGTTGAACTATAATATTCCCTTGTTATCCTAGATATTTGGGTTCTGCTTTTTTCTATTACACCTTGTTTATTTTCCATCTCAATGATTTTATTTCTTCCTAGGTGGGACTTGATAGATCTTAAGTTTCTGTTTTCTTCTATAGTCTTCTCGATTCGTTCTTCTTGATGCGGTTTATTTAAATCATTTCTAAACTAAATATGTACTCAAAAAGAAATTCATTAATGTTCCCCTAAATTCTCTTAGGGGAACATGGTCATAGCTTAACTGACAGTTAAGGTAGGAATATTAACATCAAATATCCTAGATAGATAATATTAAAAATACATCCAATAGGAATGCGGAATTGAAAATGAGGCGAAACAACACACCATAATTCACAAATACAGCAAATTTTAAGAGCACAATGAGTAAAAAAAATTAAAAGAAGAAAAACATAGAAAGAATGACCACATTATTATTTTTATTATAATAGATATAAAATGTTATCAAAAAAAACATTGTAAACCTACCTTTATCTAATAGAACCTTCTTGCAGGACAATGCGACAATAATTTTAACCAAAGCAGTCTTAACTCTGAGATTGTTGTCATTCAAAACGTCGTTAACGTGCTTCACGATGTCCTTGTACCTTCCTTTAATGGCCTGGTCCCCGCTATATGAAATCAGGTGCGTTATAACAATCAAAGATTTAACTTTTTCTTTGTCGTTGTTGTTTTTGAGCTGGGACAAAAGCTGGTCCATGGTGTTATCTGTAAAGTGCAGCGCGAAGCATTCATAACACCTTAAAACTTCAGAATGACTTTTCAAGAAACCCGGTTGGGCGTAATCCGGCGATATATTCAGCAAATCGAACAGAGTACTTAAAATATTCGGCAGCATCGGTTCTAGAAGCATCCCGTTCACTGCTGCCGACTTCTTGATAACAGAACCTAAGCATTTGGTAATACTGTAGGTATTAACATTGCGTTTATACAAATTCAGCAGCACTTGAATCGTTTTCGGCGTCTGCTGTGCTACGTTCTCAGATAAAACAGGATATATCAATGTTATCGCTTCTAGCACGCATTCATTTGTCTTGGAATCACGGGAATTTATCCAATTCAAAAAAAGTATGTTATATGCGATGTTGATTTCTTCGCTGAAAGTTTCTAGGTTTATAGTTGGATCTGGAACCTTTTCTGAATTCGAGATGTACTCTGTGAGAGCCTCGCAAAAATTTCCAAGAGCTAAAATAAAATATAACAAAACCTATACTTAATTGAGGCAGTAAAAGAAAAGAGAATTATATACATATTTCAATTATTATCTTACCAAATGAGACTGATTGTTTTAGTATCTCTGTTCGCAAAGACGGAAGAAGTGGTAAGATAATACTATAGATATCTTTCAAATATGGTACTACACCGATAGCATTGGCACTTGCTAAAGCACCCAAAGTATAGGGCACCATGTGATGGGGAATCACTGAAGGCTGCAGTTTTTCCCTTAGAGCATCCATAACCTATGTGTCCAAAAATATACTATTACTTGTCTATTTAATCATAAAATAATAAAAAAAATCAATTGAGTTTGCAGTTTAAATTTTATATGTTAGATTAAAGAAATATAAAACCCTGGCAATGCAAAATACAACTCAGCCCAATTGTGGATTCTTTTTTATCTTTCTTTATACCCACTCTTTAATGATAATTTCATATATCTCCATTTATGAATTGCTGTATTTTGATATCTTGAATCAGTTCTACAGAAGTATTCTGTTATTTTTGTTTAGAGAATTATAATTATGAAAGATAACAAAGTAAAAGAAAGAGACAAGTCAAATTTGAGGAATTGTTATATTAAATCAAAACTGAAAAGTCCAGATTGAACCTACTATGGGTGCAAATCTAACATAAGTTAATTTTGTATCAAATTAATGCAGCAATAACTCCAAATTGTGTAATTTATCTCAGCATAAATCCACCTGTTCATGATGACTCATTGTTATTAAAATAATTATAAACAAATAAATCTATTGATAAGCCACATGCAATTTCAAAGAAAAGGAATTTATACAATTACAAATAAATCAAAACATCATCAGTTAATCAAAATATAAACATGATAACAATATTCGACAGAGATTGATTAATTTGCGACATTTACCTGTACATAATGTTCCCTCCCAAGGGCTACAAGTATCCCAGATGCAGGCCTTTGTACTTGGGAGTCCAAGCTAATATTCTCAGTCATAATGGAGAGACTAACATTTATTGTTTGTATTATAGTATCCCCATTGATCTTCAATATATGATCGGAACAAACTAGTTCCATTATGTAGAGTATGGACGAGACATGTTCGGGAGGCGGTTTTGGGGTTTTTGTTATGAACTGACAACAGGAGTTTAGCACTTGATTTGGATGTTTTTCGGACAATTTTTTCAACGAACATTTTACAGATTCCAACACTAGATAACTTTTATCGGTTACAGATTGTAGCAATCTCCCGATTGTCACTAAAAAATATCTTAATATAGTATTTTCGAAAAACATATTAAAAGTGTTAGAATTTTACCTTGCAATTGGGTTTCGGCGTTTATTTTTCCGTTTGTAGTCATGGTTATAGTCCTTTAATTTTTATTTAATTCATTCTTACTTTTCTACAACTATTTTTGTTTTGAAAATCGCTGGACTAATTATTATGACATCTACGTCCATCACAGGACTGCAGCTGGATCTTGCGTGTCATCAGTGTCATCAAAGTTTCTTCTTCTGCGACGATTTGTCAACCTCAAAATACTGATAAGAATAAGCATCGATCATTCAACCAGAAATATTTATACATTGATAAGGATTTTAAATGACACATTATTAATCTTGTTATTTATTAAATAAGTTTTGTTACGAGAAACCATAAAACTTTGAGATTGTGTTAGGATGTTATCAAAGAATATAGATTCTTTGATGTTATGAAGCTAATTGGAATATTTTTTATTTTTATTCCAACTGTTGTCACATTCTGTGCTAATGGTTCTATATATTCTGGCGGCAATTTTTAAATTAATGCAATTCGCCACATTTAGAAGAGAACTTAAAATAATTATGCGATTTACTGTGTAAATAGCTCAAAAATGGAAAAATTGTAGTTAGTTAGACACATTTGGAACTGGAACCAAGCCATCGAAATACATGTTGCATTTCATAACCCTATATAATAATGAAGCGCCCGCTTATGACATCTCGGGTTTAACTTAGTTATTTTCATGTCGATTGGTAGCCAGCAAATAATAAAGTTAGAAACATCTGTGGTTACAACATAAAAAGAAGAAGTGAATTGGCAAGAGAAATCAGAATAAATACAAAAGTGACAAGTATTTAAATTCTAGAGGGAATGTAACTTGAAATAAATGAGTTTGAATGTTTATAGAAAATACCCTGAAAGTTGTAGTAGTTTATCAACAATTGAGAAAGTATGCAGTGATAGAATAAAATTATACAAAATATTCGAAGCAGCAAAATACAATAGGCTAGAAGTAGGAACACTACAATGGTCCAACTATATCATATCAAAAATCCAAGAGGTAGAACTTAAGTCATATTATGTTTTATTGGGCTTAGAATTGCAATATAGTATGCTTAAGGCCAAAAGAGAAGATAACCTAGCACACTGGATGGTTGGTTTAAGTAAATATCTATTTTTTAATTTAGTAATTTTCCCTGCCAATCCACTAATATCCTTCTTCTCAACTTAAACAATAACTATTTAAAATAAAATATGTTCAAATACCGTGAATTTTCACATTTTGTAATGTTTTTAAAACTGTGTCTCCATACTCTTTCATTGTCCTGATTTAAGAGTGTTTAGTCATTAAGGAAAACACAAATTGAGTATACTATAACTAGAATCTATACACACACTTGCTTACTAAATTTTGACTACATTATGTTTCAAGTCAAATGCCAATATTTTTCATAGATTAGTAGAAAAGTAGATTACTCATAGCTGTTAAAAAAAATAAACTATCATTCTTCATAACTTTGCATCCTTCTTTCATGTTTATATCTCATTATACTTTTAGGTTATTCTGCAACAAAAGAACAAATAAATCTCTTCATCAACTGGGAGCTTCAATGGTTCCATTTACTATTCAGCAATTTGAGCAAATCAAAGAGAGATGCATTTTTGATAGGAAACAATTTTATATGTGAACATCTAGGACCTGTGAACAAATTACTTCTTTACGATAAATTGATACAGTGTACAGAAGTTACAGAAAATGATTTTGACAGTACAAAGTTTTATAAGACTGAGTTTTACAAAGTTCCAGATTTGGTTAGAAAAAAACAGATACTTTTGGATAAAGGGTTAGCCATTTTTCCAGAAGATAATATTGTTTATTATGTTAAAAGCAAGTTGTGTAATGAATTCTCACTACAACTCGAATTTCAGAAGAAGGTTGTTCCAAATGTGGGTAAATATCAGTTTTTAATAGAAGACCTTCCTAAGTACATTCCCAGACTACTTGGTTGTGAACTGGATGGTGTATATCTGAGAAATATTGACCAAATAGCTGACAATCATTTTCCATTGTGTATGCAAAATTTGCATCATACTTTAAGAACAAACCATCATCTTAAATATGAAGGAAAGATGCAGTATGGAGTGTTTTTATACTGGTTAGGTTTGCCATATAAAGACGCTATAACATTCTGGAAGGATGAATTTACTCAAGGCATCACTGAAGATTTGTTTAATAGAAAATATTTATATCTTTTTCAACATCAATATGGCAAGACTGGTAGAAAAGAGCCGTATGAACAGTTTTACTGTAGCAAAATTTTAGAATATTCTCCTTTGCCCTCACAGCATCATGGATGTCCTTTCAAACATTGGTCAAAATCCATTCTTTTTGAGAGACTAGAAAGTGAAGTGTCTTGTATAACAGATATAGAGGACCTTGTAACCCAGAAGGAATACCAAAAAGCATGTACAACATATTTATGTAAGTCTAGAAAGGTACCACAGCATGTACTTAATCTAGAATTGGATGTTATAGAAAGCCCTATTCAATATGTCAATCAAAGTTTTAAAGCTCTTGATGTTCTGGATGTTATATTTGATAGTGATGAAAATATACTAAATATTTAATGTTTTTTCTGTGTTTCTAATTTTATGACAATTGCACAATGGCTGAAAATCCAAAACAAACAGTCCTCAGTCCCGGCCACCCCTTAAGTGGGGAGAGGGTGCTCAGAATCCCTGTCAGCCAATAGTGTCCCAAAAGTTAAAAGGATCTGTACATGGAACATTTGAAGCATGTACCAAGCAGACAAAACAGCAAATACTATTCAAGAAATGACTAACCTGAACATAGATATTTTAGGATGCAGTGAAGTTCGATGGCAAAATTCTGGAATGAGAATTATAGATGAACACCATATCTATTATTCTGGAGACAACACAACATGAAACAGAAATGGCATAGTGATAATAATAAAAAGGGAAATAGCTAAAGCAGTAATAGGATCTACGATCATATGCTCCATATAAGACAGTTGTGCTATTGAAAATTAGTCCACTATAGTAAGTCCCACTAATATAAAACATCATTCAGGTCTATGCACCAACATCAGAATCTACTGAAGAAATAGAAAATTTCTACCGACTCTAGAAGACTCTCTAAAACTGACCAAAAAACATGAACTTACTATTATCATGGGCAATTTCAATGCCAAAATAGGACAAAGTACAGTCGAGAATGTGGTGGGGTCATATGGTCTTGGCGAAATAAAAGAGGAGAAAGACTAATCAATATTAAATCCAAATTACATATAATATAAAATCAATATTAAAAATATTATAAACTAAATATAAGTTAAAAAAAAATAAGACTAAATATCTTATATACTAAAAAAAAAACAAAGTATAACAAGAATAAAATTCAACAATCGCAATATACATATCACAAAGCAAGGGATCTTTTTAACTGAGTTAAAGTTATATTGAAAATATCAAAATCGTGATCATTTAATAGCCCCATGTATCTATCCAATGGGCTGTGAATACCATAGGTTGTTCTATGGAAAGAAATATTGAAAACATTCTGGTACTGTAGAGCTTGATAATTGTTGTTTGATACGGAAATAATCATGATTTTCAATAGTAGTGTGGATGTGGTAAGCACACAATATCTCAAAAATTTATGCTGGACTCTTTCTATGGTATCAATATTGTTCTGAAAATAGGGTGACCAAATAACTGAACAGTATTCCAAAGTAGTTCTAACTAAGCAACAATACACTATCTTGTTGAGTTAATGGAGAAATACTTGCAATTCCTAGTAAAGAAACCAAGAAGTTTAGATGCCTTTATTGAAATAGAGTTTTGTGGTCACAGAAAGTAAGCTTCTCAATCGAAAATAAACCAAACCAAATAGAAGAAACATAATTCAGTGGCTGATTATTAATAGTATAGCTTGTTTAATCCTATTGACTTTACAAGAAAAACTTTATAAACATTTTTTTTTAATTTATAAGTGGAGTTTGTTCTGATTGCACCAACTTTGTAGTCTGTCTAAGTCATCTTGTAGCAAGGCTTGAACTTTTAAACTGTCTATAACTTTCCAAAATTTCAAGTCATCTGCCAACATTAGACATTTAGCTATTTAGGAAACAGGAAGTGATAGTCATTAACAAAGATATTAAAAAGAAGTGGAGAAGTATGGCCTCCTTGAGGAACTCCAGATGTTACTGTGATACTGTCAGATAGATGACAACCTATCTTGACTTCTCCTGACGTTAAGTTTTTAATCCATTCAACAAACCTGACATGAAAGCCTACATTAATTAATTTGCCCAAAAGTATTTGGTGATCTACACAATCAAATGCCTTGGAAAAATCTGTGTATATTGCATCTACCTGTTTACTGTCTTCCATATGAGATAATATATCAGATTGACAACAAACCAAATTTGTTGCAGTAGATTTTGTGCTATGAAAACCATGTGATTGAGATATTAAGCCTTTACATAACCAAGAAAGTTGCTTTGCTATAAGACTGTCAAAGAGCTTAGGGATTGCAGATTATATACAAATGCTAGATAATTTTCAATACTGCCTTTCTGACCATTTTTAAACATAACTTTCTTTCCATGAAGAAGGAAACAGAGGTTTCCAGAGATCTATTAAAAAATATAACAAATGGTATTACAAGGGTACAGACACACTTTTTTTAATAAAAAAATAGGCCACACTAGTAAGGTTATTGGGCAACTCATTTATGCCATTAAAAATATCAGTCATGGATGGATAGGTATGTAAATGTTGTTATTTGGTAAATACACAGTTTGGATGAAGTCATAAATTAGCTATGTCTTGACTGTTTGTTGCAGATTGGACTTGATAAAATAATGATTAGATAGGTTATGACTAGACCACATCATTGATGTACTTCCAAATTTATTTGGATCATTCCTTAGGCCAGTATCTATACCTCTTCATCAAAACAGTAATCGGTTCTTAAATTACAAGGACTTCAACTTGCAAAAGAAAAAGATCACAGGAATTTTATAGGCCCCATAAAAATGTAAAAGTACCAAAATGTCATAAAAAATAGCAAAGAATTGTTCAGTAAGGTTAAAAAGATATATTAGTGAGATAACAGAACTTAAACTTGCACTGGATACCAGAAAGGACTGAATGCAGATCGCCAAAATAGAGACCAATGAGATTAACAGGGAGGCTATGCCCAAGAGTAGCGTTTAAGGCTGATTAGATAGATAACTTTTCTTCTGGCATGTTTACAATGGTTTTATTTCAAATTCAAGACTGAAAATGGGAACGCAATATATATCGAAACAAATATTAATCTCATATAGAGCCATATTTAACTGATATCAAACATCTTTTTTTAACAAGTTTTCATTGGGTACAACCAAAACTGAGAAATGAAATCCAAACATAAAAATAAAAAATAACTTTATTTCCTTAAGTCATTTACTTAAAAAACTTGTACTTTTCTAGTCGAAGAGTCCAAGACCCATATCGTCATCAGACTCTTCAGGTTCAGACTCCTTCTTTTCTTCCTTGGCAGGGGCTGCTGCAGCGGCAGCGGCGGGCGCAGCTGCTGAGGCACCACCTGCTGAAGCACCTCCACCTACTCCAGATCCAATGTTGGTGATTAGATCTTTGATGTTGATTCCCTCAAGAGCCTTGGCGAAAAGACCTGGCCAGTAAGGTTCTACCTCTACATTGGCAGCTTTCAAGATGGTCTGGATTTTCTCACCCTATAACCAAAACAAAATGCTTTAGATTTTTAAATGTAGATAACAAAAATGTATTACTTAGAAAGAATTACTACACATGTTTTTGTTATGGTATGTCTCTGATTTTCCTTTGGTGGTTTCAGATTTATGCTGAGCCACCATACACTAAAAAAGACATTGCTGTTCCCTCAGCTAGCACACCTCTCTCTATATCGAAAATAGACGAGGCCGGCTTATAAGTGAGGGGTAATAAAAACATTTCCTAACCTCAACAACGATTTTCATTCATATAATCATGTTTTGAATGAAACGATAAAAAATACTTAGACAAACGCAATTATATTGTATTCTATTGCTACTACATTGCATTAAACGTAGTGGATGGGCATTTATTAATGAAATTTTAATGGATGAAAAGTGAACTACGCAATTATAAAAATATATAAATAAAAATTACTTACAGTTACGGCGATATCATCATCGGCCAAGATGAGGGCTGAGTAAACGCAGGCAAGTTCAGCGCTGGTAGACATGATTTATTTGTTATATTTCGTGCAAGTTGCCAACTAGGCCTTAGCTCAACGAGAACAAGCACACGTCTTGTTGACTTTGAAAAGAAAGAGGAAGGAGGAAGCTAAAATTTCTTACACATGACAGTATCAATGACAAGCAGGTCTACCAACAGTCATAATCATCAGTCTCACCAACAGATTAATGTAAAGAAATAAAGTAACTAAAGACTGAAAATTAAAGTAAGTTTGCACAAAGTGGTAAATTTGAAAATTTGAACGGCAATCGGGATGCTTTCTACTTGTATAAAGTTAATTTTGTTTCTTGTTAATTTCATGTTATCGGCTGAATCACAACGTTTCACTTATTTATTACTTATTTATCATATATTTTATCTTTGATATTGTCGTATTATCCAAATTACAAATACCGTACGGTTTTTGGTTGTCATTGGGAAACGCCCTTAGCTATATGGAAATTAGAGGTATTTCCCGAAAATTTGGGTGATTTGTAATTTCCGTTGAATACCACTGTAGAATGTGCCGTGGGGTAGTAAAATATGAAAGAAAACTGGCTGTGCAACGAATAACAATTTTTGAATGAGTCATATGTATCAAAATAAATATACAGCCTTTTATTAAGTTAATCTAGATGTACAATTTCTTTTATATATCAATTGAAGAGTGTTGTGTTTCGAGTTGACCCAGAAAATTGATAATTTAACTTACTTAACAGTAATTATAACAGAAAAATGATTCATCTATTGTTTCTGTCAGTAGTTTGTGAAATAAGATGCTGATACAATGAAGTCAAGTCATGGCTAAATCCACATTCAGGTGTTTATATTTGTATTAATATTTTCATTGATTAACTATAAATAGGAAATGTATTTTGGAAAAACCTGCACAACTTATCTTTGCTTTGAGTTTTGATCGAGGATATTAAATGTACTGTTATAAAATCGATTTTAGTTTGAGTAGAAAAATACTTTTCTGCAAGAATGGTCCTTCATAAGTAATTAATTTGTTTAGGAAGTTTTTTACACATTTTGCCATGCTCTCAGCAGTATTAAACAAATCTGTTCCATTTCTAATCTTCTTCAAGCAATTTAAAAAAGAAATTTTAACAAATTATCAAAATTTTTGATTTATTGTTTGTGTCAGTTATTGTAGATAATTATATTTTTTAGTAAAGTGGATGAATATGGTTTTGAACGTCCAGAAAATTTCAACTATGAAGTTTATGATAATTTTATGTCCGGGTACATTAGAGTTTTGACGAGAAGGGCACAAAGATGGAGCACTGTAAAAGGTGACATATACAGAAAACCAAATGTGCTAAAAAGATTCATAAGGAAAGGAATACCAGGCAATCAGAGGACTGCTGTGTGGATGAGAGTGTCTGGAGCTGAGAATTTGAGAAATTCCACAAACTTGAGTTATGGTGCCTTGAAAAAAAATATTGATAATCAGCATATTATTGACACTATACAGATAGACTTACCCAGAACATTTCCAGGTAAAATTTCTATCATTAATAGATTAATCACACTTAATACTCCTTTTTTTTAGAAAATATATACTTCAGCAATCATGAATACCTTCCAAAAGAGTTGTTCAATGTACTAGCCACATTTGCACACCAAAACAAAGAAGTCAGCTACTGTCAAGGTCTGAACTATATAGCGGGGCTCTTGCTGTTGGCTACCAAAGATGAGGAAGCTTCTTTTTGGTTGCTGAAAGCCTTAGTTGAGAATATTCTACCTCAGTACTACATTGTGACAATGACTGGCCTTCTGACTGATCTCGATGTTCTTGACGAATTAATTCTTAAGTATGAGCCATTAGTACACAGACATATCCATAATGTGGGCATGCCTTGGGCCATGGGTACTACCAAGTGGTTTATTTGTCTTTATTCGGAGGTGAGTAAGATCTATTATCTATAATTTTTAAGAAATGATCAGCAAATGGAACAAATTGGATAGTAGAACTGCAAAAGTCCCAGAAGGTATTACAATTTTTGATATTTCGAATGTTTTAGGTACTGCCTGCTGAAACTGTGTTCAGGATATGGGATTGTCTATTTAATGAAGGATCTAAAATTTTATTTAGAGTAGCATTAGCCCTCATAAGGTTGCACAAAGACCAGATTTTACAAACCAGTGAACTGGGGGAACTGATTGGGTGCTTTAGAGACATGCGAAACCATGAGACTGTTATAAACTGTCATTTGTTTATGCAAGTAAGAATGAATTTAATTTTATAATTGTCATCACCTAATGCTTCAGTTCTATAAATTTTCATTTCCAGTGTTGTTTGAAATAATATTTTCAAGCTAGCACTTTCAGCTTTTCATTCATAAAGTATTATTTTGCTCTCATACTTGTATATTAAAGCGATTTTATAATTTTCTTCTGTTTTAGGAGGTGTTTCGACTATCTGGAAACTTATCAAAATGCTACCATTTCTAGATTAAGGCAAAAATACAAGAAGTGAACAAAAGAAAACAAATTTTGACTTTATTATGCACACAAATCTAGTCTATTCTATGTAAAATCTTTATTAAGCTTTTTATCTATATACAATTTGAATTTAATAAACTATTTTAATTTCTAGAGTGTTTTTCTAAAAAGTCTTTGGCTTCATTGATCTTTGATGCTATATATGGAGATCCTCCTCTATCTGGATGATTTACTGCCATCACTTTCTTAAAGGCATCCTTCACTTTTATTTTATTTGCACTGGGACTAATACCTAGAATTAAAGCCGCTTCTCTCCTATTCATCTTTTGATCGAACCCTCCTTTGTAGTATTTAGAGTTAGCAACTGAGGCAGAATCGAACTTCGGGAGGTTTTTCATTGCTTCATTAAAGGTTTTGGCAGCATTGGGCATTTGCCTGAGTGCATAACGACCTGCAAATCCAACGGCTGCCAAACCAAGTCCAGCTAATATTATTCCATTCTGAAAATTATTGATTTAGAAAATATTCGATATTAAATATTTACGTTTTTTTACCATTTTTCACGAGAATTTTTCAAAATTACACATTTCAATAAAATATTTGACATTGACATATGTGTCAAATCTTCAACTCAGTGTTACCAGTGGCTGGGCATGGAAGGATGCACCTCCCTGTCAAAAATTATGTCGATTTTGTACAAAATTATGCGCTCTGTTGTAACCTTACTGTCATCTGTCAGCGTCCTTGTCAGTTGTCATTGTAAAGGCCAATATGACACTATGCATTTTCTTGTATCATGTCTTATATTGTTTCTGATATAGGAAGTTATTTAATGTTTTCTTGTATTAAGTCTTGAATATAAAATTTTCTTCGATAAAGTAATTTTTATTTGCTAAAGGTAAATGCTGTGTCACAGAAGAAATAACAATTATTGGTTGAGTTTACCGAAAGCACAAGCTGATTATAGCCACAAATGTCAAACATAGAACAAACACTTTCTCTATAGCAGTGTTGCATGTTTTTGTAAAAGGTAGATGCTATATACTTCAAAAATAAAAAGATAAAGCTTTAGAAAAGTACATTTTGTTTATATTATGTTATGAATTCTGCATATTTTGATTTATATTAAACAACAATGAGTAAATATTTGTTTCTTTGGAGATTGTATTAAAGTTAATAATTAGAAATTTTTTTTAGCAATTACCCTTTGATAGATTAGAGGAAAGATTTTGCAATCGTCAAATCAGCAGTTGCCAGATTACAAAAAAAATTGCAATTAATCTCAAAAAAGACAAATATCTACTCGTTATTGCTTCATGTAAATTAAAAATTGCAGAATTCATTAAATGGTATCATCAAAATGTACTTTTTAAAAGCTTTATCTCTTTATATTTGAAGCATACAGCATGCGTTATAAAAACATGCCAACATTGCCAAACCGAAATATTTTTGACATTTGCGGCTATATTCAGCTTGTAATTTCGGTAAAATCAACCCAATTGTTTATTATTTTGTGACTGTGTAAAATGTCAGCACAAAACGTTTTTCTTTTAAAACAAACAAGAGAAGACGAGTACTCTTATTATAAACTGGCTTGTCATTGGTTTTTTGCTTTGCTGGATTGTTGCGAAATTTATGTGATTTTATGCAGGATGCGAAAATTATGCGCCGGCAACTAAATTATGCGCAAATCGCATAATTATGCGCCGATTGGCACACATGCTTCAACTCCTCTTCTTTGAAATCAACTTTTTTGATTATGAATTTTAACAAATCATCCATTTGTTACTTCATATTAAATTATTTAACCATATAATTTAAAGATATTTTCTGACATTTATTTTCGAGGCGTACCATCTTACTAATAATTACCTTATTTTTAAACGATTAAATGTATTTTAAATCACAAATTCACAACATAGGGTATACTACCTGTTTACTAAATGTTGTATCGTACAAATTAATTGTAGTAGTAAAGATATTACAGACCAAAAATAAATTAATTGTAATTTAATCAATAATATATAATTAAATCAAAATTTAAGACTGACTTTAAAATCATCTTTTAGAAATATTTCGATTTTATGCAATTGTATTTACTCGTTAGCGTATTATTAGTCGTCTATAAGTCAGGCGCTATTTTGGCCTAAGTTTTAATGTGAATTTAACCATAATTGTTAAACATATGATTCTGACGTTTGCGTCAGAATGATTGTCTTTGTTGCCCGATATTTATATAAAATAAATTAAATGAATTGAGTATGATATGTCTAAATTTACCTATATTGATACGTACGGAATAGTTTCTATTTATAGCTAATGTCGGAATTCGAAAGTAATTTTTAAGGCCAGCAGAATAAACGTTGATCAAATGGTCAGTTGTACTTAAATGAGCGTGACATATTCAATTTTCACTGTTGCACCTTGTACTTTGAATTTAAATTTTTATCACAGTTTATACAATGAGATAATTTCGTGTTGAAATCGACAATGGTTAGTAGTAGTGGTGATTTATCTTCCGTGATAGATAGTCGATAGTAAAGTTCTAATGGTGCAAAATGCGATAACAATGGGACAAAATTCCAGCTTACCGAAAGGTAGAAGGAAGTCCTTGCGATCATTCATCAAAAGATCTGATTCGAAGGCCAACTCATTGAGCCACACTTTCACCTTAAACGAAAATGACGATAGAGTAGACAGATTGAATATTAACATTGCAAGTGAAGAAGAATTAATGACATTAGATGGAGTTAATAGAGAAATAGCTAAAAGTATAGTGGATCATAGGAGAGCCATAGGTCGATTTCGTAAAGTTGAGGACTTGGCCGTTGTCAGGGGCATTGGTGCTGATAAATTACAGAAATTGAGACCAGAAATTTGTGTTTCGTCGAGGAGAAGCCAAAGCTATACTTCTTCTAGAGCTCAAAGTTATGACAGTTTGAGAAGTTCGGAATCTAGACTGACTCTGAAGTCTAATAGGCTTGTTAATGTTAATAAAGCTAGTGTTTTTGAGTTGCAAAATGTTATTGGGGTGACACAGGAGATTGCCGCTGCTATTGTACACTACAGAAACAAGAAGGGGGCCTTCAAACATGTAAGTATCATCAATTTATGTGTATGTAGAATTAGAGACTTTTGTAGTAATGTAAATATTATATTTACCAAGGTTTTTTTTACATAATAAATATTTATTGGAATTAAAATAATATTCAGTAAATTTTGGCATTCCTTGGGTTCATTATTTTTAGTATTCTGCAGCTGTATTCTATATTAAGTTGTGTAGAAATCAAATATAACAAATCATGTTTTGCATTCAGATGAAATAAAGCTTAAATAATAGTTGTTGCCATATATTTTGATATCATTGCCAGTATATAATTTAGCTTTGACTACGACCTTGCAAGTAAGTTAATAGTGAACATGCTCTTTATCAATTATACAATTTTTCCAATTAACTACATGCAAAATACAAATACGGAAATACATGAGATAGATAAAACAAGGTCTCTAAGAAATTCTTCATATTTCTTCTTTTCAAAAGATTAACTAAATACTTTTCATCTTATCAATTTTTCTACCAATAAGTAAGGTAATATACCTAAGAAATAGACCAGTAGGGGAGAGTGGGGCTCCTTCAGACATAAAGTTGAACTGTCATATCACTCTAAATACCTCACCAAATAAAGAAAGAAAATATTCATAAAGTACATTGTTCACCCAACTTTCACTATATATTTATATGCTTTTAATATTAAACCCTATACTTGTAAAAAAAATCAAAACCACTTTTCAAAAACGTCTGAAGGTGCTCCAAGAGGGGGCACCTTCAGACGGGGAATGGGGCAGCTCAGACACAAATTGGAAAATGACACCTCATATAAAATGTTTTAGACATTATTTATTACAATATGTAAACTATATTATAATACTTAATCAAACCCCTAATGCGTATTGAACTTTTCCAATGAAACCGAAAAAGACAATAATGATTTCTGTCGCTTTGTATCCTGCTCAGAAGGAGTTGGCAAAAGGGCTACATTATCTGATAAAGAAGCACTAGAGATATCTGCTACGATGGGCAGAAAAAATTTATAATTTACTTTAAATGACATTCTCAAAAATGAAATTTCAACATCTCCGCATCTTTTTGTTTCACAGTCCCAAATTTAAACAGCACAAAATCTTCAATTTTCAATTCACTCCTATCAAAATTTTGCTGTGGTCTTCTAATACTTTATCATCAGAGTTTTTGCCATTTTCATCATCAGTTGTCTTCTCATTCTTCTAATTCTTAAAAAGTAGTTTTCTTTTCATTGATTTAGTATGTTCAGCATTAGAGTTGGTGGTTTTCTTTGTTTTTTTATTGATCTGTTTTTCTATTAGAAGAAGCTTTTCTGGGGTGTCAGTTATTATTCTGCTTTTCGCATTTTCTTTTGGTTTCTTGGAGTATTGAGTTTCTCCTTGGAGCTCTCCTTCTAGCTTGGAGCTGGTATCTCCTCAGGACTTAAATAACAGCTAAGCTGTTGAGAGGGCATATGCATAGAGTTTTGGCAGCTTGATGCTGATGGAGTGTCTATTAGTTGTTGAAAGTTTTCGTTTGAAATTTGGGGAGATGAGAGTGGTTTTTCAGGTTCTAAAGTTGGTAGACTTGCAGCTAGTTAGCATATTAGGGGTTCATCAAGAAGTGTTTCGTTTGGAGATTAGGTCTCTCACTGACCAAACTGGGAGCAAACATATTGCAGGTAAAAATGTGCCTGTCAACTGGAAATATTCCTGTTTTTTTTTTTTTTTAATTTATAATGCTCTGTGGTACCATAGCATGGCCATATGCTATTCCAACACATGTGGCCACGTGATAGATTCCAAAACGTTGGCCTGAATTAGACTTCAACCATGAATCAATTGCAGCATTATAATATGTTTTAAAAGGTTTCATCAATCTGACATCCAGTGTTTGCATCATGTGGGTACAATGGGGCAGAACTGTTAGAATGTGCTCGCCATTAGCTTTTGCTAGTTCTATTACCTCAACTGACAAGTGGCTCTCATGATTGTCACAAATTAGAAGCATTCTTCTCTTTTCAGAGAAACTAGAGCAGGAGGTATTGTATTTTCAGCTGAATTTATAAACAAAACTGTAGTAACCAGAGTTCCTATCTCACCACTTACAGCAGCTGCTACTTGTTTTTGGCCTTTTTGTGAAATCACACAAGAAGGTTCTTCTTTAGTTTCAGTTTTTGTTTCATCCATATTCCAAATCCTGGATTAGTCACAGAGTTTTATGCATCTTTTGATAAATTTTTTATAATCATTAAAAAAAGCATTCACATTATGTTTGTTAAAGGAAATTGCAAGTGCAATAGTGCATCCTTCAGCAACACGGAGAGATAATCTTGGGTGGTGTTTCATAAAACCGTATTGGCCATTATATGAGATGGCCATTTTGGCCATCTCATGTGCTAGTTTTCGAGTTTCTAGATTGTTAAGACCATAAAACATTTTTGAACACTTAATTAAATATACCTCAAGGTCATCTTCCTGTTTGTCAGTAAAATATCTTTTTACTGACATGGTACAGCACTAAAAGAATAATTTGTATATAAGATGGAAGAAAATAATGAAAATAATGGATACAATTCAAAAACATGCCAGAATTTGTAAAAAAATTCCATTTATGGTTTATTAATATATTTTTCTTTATTATAATATATTTTCCTTCCTTTTTAACACTCCATATCCTATATGTAATTATATGAATGCTAAAATTACTTTGAATATTGTGGCAAACCATAAACATAATGTACATATTTTAATTTTATGGCCCATTTCCTTTTAAAAGTTATTTAAATATTTATCATTTACTACATAAATATTGTTGTCATATAATTAAGTCCAAATTCATTGCTGAATTCTACAAAAGTGATGTAATTGTTGTGACAAGACTACTGTATTTAGATTTAAACAAAAATGTGTAACTGATTTTGATATTTCCATGTAGCCTTTATACAAGTTGCTATTTTCATTTAAGTAGTATTTTATTTTAATTAAAACTTATTAAAAGACTTTAAAAAGAAATTAGATAAACCTATTGCCTTAGATTACTGTGTACATCCATGTTACTGACATATTTAGGGGTAGAGGAAGGGTAGAATGTTTTATAGTAGTGTTTTCTAAAAGTTCATATTCTAATAAAATAAATATCAGCTTTATATCTCACACAAAAAGTCCCTGTGTGACATATAGGTGGCGGAACTATTATAGCAATAAATTTGTCTGTTGTGGTTAATACTTTATCAAAACTATTTATCCAAAGTACCAATTTTTCAATGGTAACCTGTCACAATTTGCACCAAATCGGACCATTATTGTAGAAGTTATTGTGGTTTGAGTAATAAGTTATTTTTCAACAGTTTTCACATAGTTCACAGTTTAAGTATGTGATTTATTTGTTTTTTAAAACAGAGCTAGTTTTTCTGTAAGCTGGTTCGTGTTATTATGTACGTTTTATCATGTATTTATTTTCCTATAAGATTGTGTGATCTTCAGAACGCAATCTCTGGTACCTTACTGCTGTAAAATTTAGCAAGTTGATTGTTATATCTCTAAAACGTAATAAACATTTGATTTTTTACATTCGTCTAAAAGGTTTCGAATAAGTGGCCTGCGTTAGTAACAGTTTGGACTGTTGCCATTGTTTGTATTTTCGAAAACAGCTTGTTTACTGTTTGGCATACAATCGCAATAAAAAATAGCTTGTGTTCGATTGTATTTTCGTAAAAAAGCACATGAGCTAATTTTGTGATAGGAAACGTGACTAACGAATTAGTGGGAAAATATACGAAATCTAACATGGAATTTTCTATTGCTGGAAAACTATTTCCAATAATATATTTGTTCACGGAATTTTAAACGAATTAAAAAATTTACGACAGTTTGGAGTAAAGTTAGTTGTCAAAACCATAATATTTTATGTAAGTAATGGCCTTATGTTTTTCTTTTCTTAGTTTTCACAATTTGTTGTGAATATTTGCCAATTTTTTTCGGATTATCACGTCTTTCGTTGAACCAATCTGTTCCAGGTTTCCTTTAATTTGCAATATAAAGCACAAAAGTGGAAAGGAATGTAGAACATACCCTTCTAAAGTGAATTCAATTTAAAAGATTATCACTTATAATCGAATTCGAAGATAGGGCGAGGACGTGTTGACGATGTCGTGGGTGACTTTGGTTTGGGAGATCAAAACGAGAGAGGTGATATGCAAACCCAGTTCTGTCAAGAAGAAAAATTAGTCATTGCGAATACCTGGTACAAACTGCCACCTCGGAAACTCTACACCTGGCAGTCTCCACAACATACGCATGACAACATCGCAAGAAATCAAATTGATTTTTTATTGATTAATAAAGAGATACAGAAATATATTGCAAGGAGTAAAAACGTACCCTGGAACAGATATCGGATCTGATCACAATCCAGTAGTAGATGGACGACTGTAGATCATTTAAAAACAAAGACGGAACCAACCATCAGCAGAGTAACCGACAAATACGAAAAGAGTGTCACAAAGCTAAAGAACAGTGGCTGCTAGACAGGTGTGCAGAAATGGAGGAATTGGAAGAAAAACATGACCACTTTAACATACTTAAACCTTGCAGTTTTAACAGTATTGTGAAGGATAATAAATTAATTACTGATCCTAAGGATCTACTTCAACATTGGAGAAACTACACACAGCGACTATATTCAGACAACACTAGAAGAAACTCTGAAAGTCAATATAAAAGTGAACCCTCCCCCAAAATATTGAAGTAGAAGTTGTAAGGGCAATCAAACAGAGCAAATGGGGAAAATCACCAGGCTCAGACGAAATATACATAGAGGTTTCAACAATGTTGAGGGAAGACAATATAGACGCCATGGTAGATCTTTTTAATGGAATTTATGGGTCCGGTCAAATACCACAGGACTGGCTTCAATCAACCTTTATAACAATCCCAAAAAAGCCAAACGCTAATAGTTGCGATCAATTCCGAATGATCAGCTTATTGAGCCAGGTCCTAAAACTCTTTTTAAAGATAATTCACACAAGAATA